CAGCAAAACAACAGCATAAACTACTATGACAATGATCGCCTCAGGTACTGATTATGGGCTTAATTGAGAGTCAAACTCTCCCAATGTTAGACTAAATACTACTTTACCTGACATTTATTGTCATACTACTGAAAGAAATGCAGATATTTCACCTCAGATCTTATGCAAATAAAATAACTAGCAAACAGTTTGCTCAGTACGTTTTCAGAATGAGCCTATGTTGGTAGTATGTGTTTGTGACACGCATCGGAAAGGTATATTTTATATTTATTATGCAATAAAAGTTTTTTTTTTTGAGTTTTAGAGTTTTTTTTTTATTTAATTTTTTATCGTAACCATCTGTGACATCGACTCACAAAGTTTTCAATTTGAAAAGAGTTTCTCTTTCCGCAACATCGCAGCATACAGCATAAACTACCATGACAATGATCGCCTCAGGTACTGATCATGGGCTTTCTTGAGTGTCAAATACACCAAACATTAGATTAAATACAACTTTGCCTGACATTTTTTGTCATACTACTCAAAGTGGAAGCAGACATTTCACCTCAGATCTTAAGAAAATAAAAACTAGTTTGAAAATGAAAGTCAGTGACTCAGCAAAAAAATTCTTTTAATATTTAATATTAAATCTGAGTAATATCCTCCAATATTCTGCTATTGCTGTGAGAAGATCTCTCCAACCATCCGTTAATAACGTCAGAGTCTCATTTAATTAATCAGCGAAGCTCCAAAGTCGCCTGCGAACACATTAAAGACGTTTTCAAATTGGCCTCCACAAGCTTCTCAAACAGAAAGTCTTTGCCGGCGGTAAATATTTCACAATTGATTCCATGATGAAACTGCTAACTGTGCGCTTTCCGCCGGACAGTCGACAGCAAGTCTGTGCTGTATATCATATAAATAACAGAGCGCCGCTGGATTAAACATAACGCCGTCTGCTCAATTATTAACAACCAGCATCAGAAGACGAGGAACAGAAGAGTCGAACTCGCTCTTGATGCAGTCGCTTTCAATATTCATTTACAGGCCCTTCAGTACTCGCGCACATGCAGGATGAGTTTGACAAATCCGGCTGCGTTTCTTTGTTGCTTTATATACATTAATGCATCCCACACAGCTTATTATTAATCTGTTGACTGTTTAGATGTCTTTTTTTAATAGTTTATAACAGTTTGGATGTCTTTTCATCTAATAAAACTTATTTTTAGTGTCAGTATATATTTTTTACATTTATTTTTTTATTTTAAATTGAAATGACAATTATTAAATTGTAATAATATTAATAATAACTGAAGTAATAATAAAAAAATAATGATAACGGACAATAATAATAATGATAATAATATGTTTTTGTTTTATATATTGTGGTCTTGTTTAATAAATTTTAATCTATTGACTGTTTGTCATTATTTATATGACAATTGTATTTTATTTTCATATAACAAAACTTATTTTATTATAG